CTGCTATCTCGAAACATCGGCGGCAAAGCGACGGAGCTCGATTACAGACGTGGCAGCTCCGATATCGCGAAACGGAAATAATCGATTTGAGAAAGGAAGCTGGTGCGTTGCATTTCCTGCGACCCTCGCAGACACACATATTACAACTATGTGCTACTAGCCAGCGCTGGACTTCACACAGATTAATCATGGCTGTTATACGAAATTAACCACACGAATCCTCCTGTTCCATTCCGTGGTAATCGACGACGCTTCCTGCGCGGAATATTACAAAATCGTTTGCTTCATCGTCTACCTTATCGCCTGTCTTGTTCCACGCGGTACATTCCGCTCCTAGGTGCGAACGTTCGTTCCTTCTCGATGGTTTCTCGCGCAGGATTTTCGAAAACCGCGCAGGTCAATGAGCAGAGAATTTCGGTCGGGCTTGTGATCTGGAAATTCAATTTCTTCGCGCGAGATTTCGATCGATTTTATTGGATTCGTGAGATGTGTGGGATTTGGTCTTTTCAAAGGTCTTTGGAATTTAATGGCATTTTATATACGTGTGTGCGTGTGTGTGTGTAAATCTCGCGTTGAATTTAAATACAGGTGAATTTATAGACATATATGTTGATTAGGTATATGCATGTTGAGAAAAACTGGAAATAATATTGTACAATCGAAAATATCTTACGTGTGAATTAGTTTATCGAGTTATTGATCAAGTTCAGTATGTTGAAATTATTTGAGATTTTATCGATTACGTTGTACCACAATTGTATTTATAATAGTAGGATTTTTCGTGGAGATTTGGTGAAAAATTTAGTTACATTTTGAGTACAAAGAAGATACGGAACAGTGTTAGTTTATCAAGCCGTATGTTTAAAACGCTGAATCAATTGTAAAATTATTTTAGAGCAAGGAAAATCAATTGATGAAAAATAAATATGCTCAACAGGATTTAATATCGCAAATCAAGTAATATTGACCTTTTGTGACAAATTTATGAATTTTCCCGTACCACGGAGCTTTCCGAAAGCTAACAGCTAATAAATTCTATCCATGAACACATTAACTATAGAGGACGCGGCAAGAAAATGGACCTCATTTGGTTTTCTAATTTCGTGGGATAAATTAGAATGGGCCAAGGCCGTGGTAATTTATAAATTCGAAGTGGTTAATTAGGAGTTAATTACTCTGTCCGTTTCGTAGCATAAAAGTATATATCCTTTGTTCTAACGACCTAAAGTAATTATTAACTTTCACTGTAGTAATTTAAATTATTCGTTATTTCAAACGAAACATTTTCTTGTAAAATCAGAGGACCTAGTAATTCTTAATCTTTTCCCTGAAAATGATGATTTCCGTTAACTCGTGAAAAATTGGACGATTGTGATCGTATAGTAGCGAATTTGAAATTCGTCTTTAAAGTTTAAAGTGAAATACAAACGATATAACTAACTTCAGATGTTATTAATATTAATACAACTTACCACCGACAACTAATTTTTTTACTCTCATCGTTTAATATCCATTAATCGTCAGTATCTTTTCAACGATATTCAATATTCAAGAATTAATCCACAGTCAAAAATAATAATAATAAATCTCTCTGCTATCCATACTAATTCGATACTATCAACTAAACGTTATAAAATAATTGCAAACACTGCAATACAATTAATGTCTAACGCTACTATATTATTTTCCATCTGCGATCAATGTTTTCGCCATCAATTACACATTTACCACCACCAACTAATCATCATTTACTACTGCTACTCGTTCGTGTTTTTCTCGGACGAAAATTTCCTGTGCAAGCGAGAAAATTCGCTTCGACGGTGGTGCGTCAGGTCATAGGGTGGTTTCGATCGAAGTTGATCGAGCTCGCGGCCGATGATCGCGGCATTACATAGGCGATCGTTCCTCGAAACTGCTAAACAAAGCTTAATGTAACGTCACGCGGTAAACTCTTTAGCCGGCGCGCTCCCGGATGCCGGTTAACTCTTCTCCATGCACGACGGAACAGTATTTCAAGTGCAAGCCATTAAGCCCTCAACACTGCCGGATAGTGATTAGGTCCAGGGGCTAAATCCTTGTCGTGGTGTTGGTGTTCAGTGAATTTAATCACGCCGCTCTCGGAACAATGCTGCATATTCCTGCAGTCAGGCTACAAAGATAATTGCGCTTCCAGCATTAATCAGGCATTCGCTGTACGCTCACTTCGGTGGCCCTCTTCGTTTCCCACCCCTATCCGGACAATGATTCGAACGTCGTTCGTTTATGGTAACTAGCGTTATTCGATGCATGAACTTGAAGATTTCAAACTGTCGCGGCGTCTATGTTGCAGAGATTGCAGCAACAAGTACGAAAACGGTTTTGAATATCGCGTTGGCTATATAGTGTTCGATGTGTGACCGAAGCGAGGACAAGGTTGTACCAGTGATCAGGGTTGGTTTTCAGGCGTGTGCAATATTAGATTTTCAATGATGCTCTTTTTAATGTATTCTCGATGTGAATGCAATTAAAATCGTGTTAGAATTTCTTCAAATTTTATAGTTGCCAAAGTGTGCGGTAGTCTAACTGATTAATTGAATTGAAGAAGTTCAAACTTTAAATTAGATTAACCAATTTCTACTGTGAAAATCGCGAAATCATCGTCAAATCAATATACCTAGCCAAGAAAATCGGAGAATTTACTTTCAAAAATATTTCGTGAATAAACTCGGTGTGAATAAATCACGTATCAGATCGGAAAATTCAAACTTTCCACTCTTTACGAAGTTGATTAATTTTTTACCACGAAATCATCCTCGATCTATTGAAAATCTTTAACCTATCAGCTGTTAGTGATGCCGTTTTTAAAAAGTGCGTTACATCCACATCGTTAAAACGATGATTATGCTCGTCAAATACAAAGTATGTGCTGTAGAATTGAATTGCAAAAAAATAATACTAATCTTTCTTTTGGAGAAATCAATAATTTTATTGTTTAACTCAATCAATATTAATGGCACAAAAATATTTAGAAATGACGTAAAAAGAACTAGTCGAGTCTAGTCAAGAAATTTACAAATACGTTTCATTCTCAATAGAAAAGTTTAATTCAAGCAACAAATTGCAATTACTTTTCTCGCGTGATGAGTATACTCATCATTCACAGCTACTACGTTAGAAAAAAAGAAAAAAAAAAAATTCAGCTCTGTCGCTGAAAAACGTCACCACGCCGCGTGAGTTCAAACGATTTACGGGAAGGGAACTTTGTGGACAGGTCATTGGCGGCGGTAAACATTCATTAAATTTATCTGCAACCGCGTAATTTACATGACCGCGGCGCTGCGGTAATTAACGCGCAGCGGTGGATCATTGATTCGCAACAGCGGGGCTACGTGATTCCGGTGCCCGTGCACCGTAAAAAAAAAAAAGAAAAAAAGAAAAAACGCGAAACGCGTGCTCTTCCGTCATTGCGAACGATTTTCATAATTCCGTTAAGCTTGTTACATTCTGTAGAAATTTCATTTTCACGCGCGCGGACGTTTGCAATCGGCGGTGATATCGAATCGCGAATCGAGAATCAGTCGAAGCGGGTCGATTATGCGACTGCAGGAGTGCGACCGTATAATATCGCCAACATCGCGCGTGAAATGTAAAAAAAAAAAAAAAAAAAAAAAAATGGAGGGGACTTCTAATTTCAGATTTTATTTATTTCTCATTTATAGACAGACTTTTTTATTTTTAGTCATTTCGATGTAATTGTTACTACATACGTGAAATGTAGAGATTTGAAAAAATAAACGATCATTGCGAGAATGATGAAAAATTATACGTATAAAACGCAGTTTGAACGGATAATTGGCAACAATGTGAAATATCGTGCTTCTGTTTTAATTAATCTGCTATACATAAATTGAATAATTTTCGCGGGAATATCTGGATAATTGTGGTGGAGATCACCTTGGCAGGGAAAATGAGATTAAAGTATAATACGATGGCCGTAACACGCGCGTGATAATGATGGCTGTGCGTGAATTACGATTATTATACGATCGAATTACGCACGTATAATACAATAATGAACAATATAATTGTTCCAATCTCCGCGCGTATTTAAATGTTTTCTTCCCCTTTCTCGATTTTCACTTAACGCGGCAAAATTATGTTTTTCCCGGCGAATATTCGCGATACGTACAATTTCAAGGTAAATCGTGCCATGCGCGATTATATATTTCGTTTTTTGAACGGTACGTGAAATTAACGAACCTGGCAAGAAACGAGAGCGAGACGCGATTTCCTTCGTGATAATCCACCTCTGAAAAAAGGATTGTGCTCGACGCTTCCGTCGAAGCGATTATACGTATTTTCCTTCGGCGACGTGATTATTATTCTTACAGAGACAACTGTTATTTTAAAGAGTTGAAATTAATGGCGGCGTTTTTTTCTCTTTCTCTCTCTATTCGAAAATATCACGGCCCATTGAGCGATATTGAGATAAAGAGGCAGTCGATCATCGTGCCAGGTCGGATCGTTAGAAAACAATCTACCGGTTTGTATGAACTGAAAATCATTAATCATTCCGCCGGTCGTCGTCGTCGTCGTGAAATTATTCGATCGATTAAATTCGTTTCTAGCCGCGGCGTATAGAAACGATGAAGGAACACGTTGGCGTTGTAAAGCTCGTTCTTTGTTTAGTGGAAAAAGAAAAAAAAAAGCGACGCGAGAAGCTAGGTTTCCGTTGTTATGCGCGCGCCTGATTTATTTGATAACCTGAAGCGTTTCGGCCGGTGAATTAACGAATTAAAAATGCAAAGCGGCCGCGCTGTCGCCAGTTTTGGTGCCGAAATTGCACGCTTAACTCCACGAGCGATTGATTCGAGGAATTCATCGGTTCGTTAGCGAATGTGAAATGTCGTTGTACACATTATTCGAGTGTCTTTAATTGATCACATAAAATGGTGAGAATAAAGAAGTGATTAGGATGTGATAATAACAAAATGTTTATTTAGCAATGATATACAAAACAAAATAAAAGGGTTTATTGCACTTTGGCATATTATAAAATAAAAATAAAAATAAGTGTAGATCACAGACGATTATGTACATCACACGTGTCTTCGCGCATGTTCACACAAGCAACTATAGAAACACGTCCCATACGCTGATCTGTAACTGTCACGACCCCGCCAAAACCCAGTATATCCCCCATTTCGCGATATCTCAATGAATCTAATTAACATCGCGTCTTAATCCTATTATTTCTACGCATTTATCATGCTTTGCAGATTTCAACCCTTTCGTCAGGATATCTGCTGGATTTTCTGCTGGGATATATTGCAATTTTATTAATCCGTCATCAGTCTTTTCTCGTACTATGTGGTAACATAGATCAATATATTTGGTCCTCGTCTTGTCGATCTTGCTTTTCGAAAAATCTATTGCTGCTTTGTTATCAGAATACAATTCAAAACCTGAAAAATATTGCATTAAATCCAACTCTTTAAATAACATTTCCAGCCATATTTTCTCCAAATGATATCGCAACATATTTAGCTTCCATAGTGGAAGTGGATTTGCTTTTCTGTTTAGTCGATCTCCAATTGACTATGTTGTTTGCTATTTTAATAACGAGACCTGCGAATGAATGCCTATCATTTACGTCACTTGTCCAATCGGCATCACAATAAGTTTCTGTATTTATTTTCTTACTATACTTATACTCTATCCCGTAGTTTCGAGTTTTGCTTAAATACCTGAATATATGTTTAACTTAATTTCAATGTTCTCTACCTGGATTTAAATTAAATTGAGAAAGTTTCGTTACCGCAAATAATATATCTGGTTTCGTGCATAGTCCTAAGTGCATTAATGACCCAACATGCATATTCAATATTATAGTATCTATGCTGTTGGCTTGCAGGAACCACTATGTTTCTGTGGATCGGCTACTGACTATTTCTGGATTTAACTGTTTGAACGTTTCATTAGGAAACCAGTCTTTTCTATTACACGATTTGTGCAACCACTGTCCAAAATCCATGTATCATACCGGATCTACGTTGTTCATGGATAGTAGGCTGACTTGTTTGCATTATATGTCCACTGACTAACATTTCCTTTATTGAATTATACGTAGAGTTGCATTCAGAAGCAAAGTGACTAACTTTATTGCACTTATAGCACACAATTTGCTTTAGTTTTTCTCTGTCCATTTCTTTATTGGGTGTTGCTTCTGGTGGTGTACAATGCCTCTTTATGTTTGCCACTATGTACTCCTTGTCTGGAACATCTACGATCATATTCTGCTAATAATACTGGTACTATTTCTCCCAAATTAAACTTTAGTCCTTTACCTTTTAATAGCCATTTCATCTCAATGGTCCACGACAGATAATTATTTTCATACAATTTAGTTACATGAAAATCGTTTTTAGACCCTTCTCCGTACATTTTATATACGACTCGTATTCACCACGTGGTCGACCTTATCTTTTTTAGGTTATATTCCTTCACTGATCGTTCCTGGGCCCATAATCATTGATAATAACGAAATGTTTATTTAGTAGTGATATACAAAACAAACAAAATAAAAGGGTTTATTGCACTTTGACATACTACAAAATAAAAATAAAAATAAATGCAGATCGCAAACGATTATGTACATCACACGCGTCTTCGCATATGTTTACAAGCAACTATAGGAACACGCCATAGAACAAAAGAATCCCATACGCTGATCTGTAGATGCGAAAACCCATCAGGATGTTTATTATTAATTTTCTAAGAATAGATTTCTCAAAGAAGTAGACTGAAAATTTCTATAAATTTAAAATTATAATAGTTCTTGTTTACCGATGAAAGATGGTTATTACGAGAAAATTTTGAACTATATATTTCAAAACTACAGATACAGATAATTAATAAGCATTGTACGATTGAAATTAATTAATTAATTGAAAATTAAAAAATATAGTAGTCCTTGTTACTCACTGATGAAAGATGGCTGTTACGAGAGAATTTTGAACTGTAGATATAGATATAGATATAAATAAAAATCAAAATCTTGAATTACAAAAAATATTATTAACAAATAACAGATATTAAAATTATTAACGAATAACAGATATTAATGATATTAATAAATTAATAAGAATCGTATGATTTCGTTTGGACGGTTGCCGCGGCGGTTTCGCACCATATGCGCCCGGGCGTTGAGCCGCGCGGCGCCGTCTTGCCAGCTGCCCGTTTGGTATCTATAAGAGACACAACAGTCCGAACGGTTCGGACGGATCAGCGTTGAGCGTGTGGCTATTCTATGACCTCGGTTGAGAAGCAGTCCACCGCTCCTCGAGAAATACTTCTCGACTGTTCTGTTCGTTCTTCGTTTTGGATTTTCTCTACACTGCGTTTGGCCGCGAGTCGGTGTCTCAGTACCGAATGACTCCTTAGCGGCTGCGTCTCCCCTCTATGTGGCGAGGCTGCACTACTTGTATGTAGTAAAAGCATTAACTCACCTAAGCGAAACTTGAGCTATTTTATGAATATGATCAGAAGTAAAAGTACAGAAATGACACACTCTTGTTTGATTTGTCTGGCACGCTTACACGCTATAATGTTTTGTCCGCCCAGCGTGATTTTACGCGCTATAATGTTTTGTTCGCCAAGCGTGATTTTACGCGCTATAATGTTTTGTTTGCTCAGCGTGATTTTACGCGCTATAATGTTTTGTTCGCCCAGCGTGATTTTACGCGCTATAATGTTTTGTTCGCCAAGCGTGATTTTACGCGCTATAATGTTTTGTTTGCTCAGCGTGATTTTACGCGCTATAATGTTTTGTTCGCCCAGCGTGATTTTACGCGCTATAATGTTTTGTTCGCC